TTTTTCAGAAACTCTTTTAGGATAAAATAAATGAAATATCATTATTGATAGTCCCGAAAAATTTTTAACTTTTTTTTTTTAAAATTCACTAAAAAAGTCGTATATATTCAATGTGATAAATATAGAATTTTCTTATGTATAGTTATTTTTTTACGTTTTCATTATAACCCACATTTTATAGAACTCCATTTTAAGTTTATGTTTGATAAAACTAGCTGATAAGCTAGTATATAGCTGATATGTAATTTTTGAGCTTATAGCATATAGCTTATGACTTATAACTGAAAAACTAGCTTATATGATAAAGGTGTTTGGTAAATTAGCTGATAAGCTAGCTGAAATAAAAAATTCAACTAGCTTATTTAAAAAGCTACCTAAAGTAGCTTATGAAATAAGCTCGAACTTTTTAAAAAAGCTCGTCCTACCAAACGAGACTTATTTTAATACAGAGAGCTTATAAGTTAACCAAATAAGCTATAAGCTAGCTTATTTAGCTTACCAAACGTACCCTAAATAAACACGGTTTATATGCATATGTTGTGTAGTTAAGAAATATATTTATATAAATATTTTTTAAAAAAAAAAAGGAAAAGTGTTTTATAAATTTGACAAATATCTATCTATGGTATGGATTATATGAATTTAAGTCATATATATCCTAAATTGTTACACATATTGATATTATATAACCCACAACAAGTCATATAAAATTTTGTATATATGTTATATGATAAACACCAACTATTTTTTTGTATTGCACATCCTCTCTATATATTATTCCCGAATGCGCTGAGCCTACATGGCTGCTTTTGGTGCTTCGGAATCCTACTTGGCAAAAAATCATGCTTCGTAATTAGGTTTGGACAAATAATATTGATATATTAATAATTAATAAAATCTAGGTTCAGACATTCCATAAATATTAAATAGCTAACTTAGGTATTTTAATATCACTTGTACTAATATAAACCTTTAATTCTTTGTAATTTTACATAGTGAGACATTAAGTGACTAATATACCCCTGACTTTTGATTTGTTTCCTTCGATTAGTTATTTAATTGTAAATGTATTTTAAAAGTTGATAACTTTTGTATTTCTTACCGGTTTTACATATATAATATATCAAATTAATCATATTTTGATGATTTTCGATTTGGCATCTATATTGTATATATGAAATAAATAAATTATATTTATCTTTATAATAATAAAAAATCATAATATTTATTAAAATTCATTAGAAAAATAAAATTATTTCTCAACTGATATATTTATGTTTAATGTAGTTATATGTTGTAAGTTAAAAAATTATTATAATATAACACAAGTAAGTCGCACAAATAAAAAAGTGTCATACTAAATATATAATAATATATATATTTTTATAAAAAGTATTTAAATTTTCAATTACTTTTTCTCATTAAATTTAGATTTTAAGAAAAATTAGCAAGCACCCAGTGTAATACACGGGCGTTGTACTAGTATGTATTTACATGTCAATAAATCCACCTAACTTTAATTATTAATTAGAATATTATATTTATTTTATTATATACTTAATAAATATATTTCAAATGAAAATTTGTACATTAAATTGAGAATGGACAAAATATTTCTATTAATTGATTTTCACTCATTGTTTAAACACGTCAAATAAAAAAAACAAGATAGAAATCTAGGATTACTATTAAGTTTTTTAAAATAAATATAAATAAATTCCAAAATTAAAATAAATTTATAAAATTATGAATTTTATAATATTAAATTTATTTAGATAAACATAATATATCATGCATTAAATTAGTTGATGCCCAATCACAATATTTATTTATTTTTTTCTAAAAAAATAAATGATTTGTTTAATGTTTAAACAATCAATACTTGAAATTTTTAGCACTGTTTAACTCACGGGTTTCCCCATAAATAATGCAATCTCGCCCTAACGGCCATTCATATTGAACATGTCTTTTAGTGATTTAAAATGTTTATAATGTAATTTGTCGTGTTTTAGTTCTTATATTACGTAGCGTAAATATAATTTCGTGTTCAGTAAGCTAAAAGTGTATAAAACTTAGATTACTAGAAATATTAAGATATTTGCTTATAATAAAATAGGGTGATTAATTTAAAAAATTATCTTAATAAAATAGTAGTTGATTATTATGATGAATAAAAATAGGGGCGATTTTATTTTGATATGAAATGCCCGAGTTTAAATTGTATAAATTTCGTTTGGTATTGATAGAAGTGTATTTGAGAATTTTGAAAATAAAATAAGTGGTTTAAATTTTATTTAGGACTTTTAGGTTGATTTGTTATAAAATCAATGTGATATGATTTTCAAATTTTCGCACATTTTCATATAACTTGCTATAAGATATTGAAAATAATTCGACAAATTGACATGTATTGCTCTTGAAAATGAGAAAAATCTTTGACAAAGATTTGTTAATAAAATTTAAACGTAATTTAATTCTAGAGAATTAGTTGATAAATTCACAAGGTAGCCAACAACAAATTTAGAAAAAATCGAGATTAGTAAAATATAAATAAATATATAAAAAATATATACGGAGATTCATTGTGTAGTCCAAATTTGTGTATCAAATTTAAAATGCTAATAAGTAATTATTCATAACTTACAGTCCAATATTAACTTAGACATAAATATGCTAGTCAATTATTTATAGTTTAATACTCAACTACTTTAAGTTTATTTTACTTAATGAAACAATATAAATTTTAATATATACTTTTATTCATTCACATGCATTTAAAATATATGAAATATTACCAAAATAATTTTTTTATGAAACCACATTGCACTTTTTTCCCCAAAACGATAGAGATATTATAAACAAA